TGATTTACCTGGCTCCTCGTGCAGACGTGAGGCTTTGGTCGAAACCAATCTTGTTAGGAGGCTAGATTTACAGTAGTTGAAACCTTTGAATCCGTGTCCCGTGTGCTGGAGTCGGATATTGCCGACGGAAACTTAAACGTGAGTCTGAGATAATATTTCACTTCTGAATCCTTGGCACGCCGCTATCGGGTGTTCTATCTTTGCAAGTGCATGGCAACACTGCGATCGATGTTGAGATAGATATTCTGTGCGTTCTACGATACACAATTTGCTCAGGTTTATACATCTTGGGAGTCAAGTAACTAGATTATATTCCGCCAGATCTGGATTCTGTAGATCAATTACATAATAAAATTCTACTAGCCCCAATTGTATGTTGTGTATCTTGATTAGGTCTCTGGCAACTATTCAATGATAATTTTGCTATCACAGAAAAAGAGTCACGATTTATATGACAATGAAAATCGATAGATCATTTCTACACATATCAATCTACGTAATCGGGGAGGACAAAGTTCTCTGATCAAGATTCGACTGCGTGTGCAGCTATCTTGCTGTGATACAATAACAGAGTTTAAGTACAGGATAGTGTAAAGTCATTTCTTTCACAGACAGTAAGTTTTCAGAAGAAATTGCCATAAATATTTTGATGCAAGCACTGACATACTCGACACGGAGATAGATTGACTAAGAGCCCGAGATGAAACGTTGGCTCCTTACGTACCTCGTCAAACCTCGAGTTTATCGATTGGTTGGCAAGCAGAGCTGCAAAGATTTCAACCATGTCAAGTTAGCCTCACCGGATGATTTTGACAAAAATTTGGTCAAGGCAGCCTATGGACTGTAAGAATCACGTAAAGCCTAGAGCCTGGACGCAGATTAAGATGCTCATGTTTCACTATCAGAAAGGCAGGTGACTAATTACGAGTCATGGAGTATTTACGACCTACGATAGACTTTAAATCCGATTATTCCATCACATCCGCATAATATACTTCGCAGACGACATGCCCATTAATCATGGCAGGAAAGATGAGAATCTTAGAATTAGACTTTTATGGGTCGTAGCTAAGCGATTGTAGAGCTTCGAGTATTGTTGTAGTTCCCATCTAGGGTCAAGCCTTGTAGCTTTCGGGGCTTTCACGATGCCAGGGGACCAGTACTAGCTTAGAGGCGAGAGTTTTCCCTTGCATCCTATGATGGGCATCATTTTGCATGCCCGACCTACTACGCCGCACGGATGGCTGTATGTGCATCGAATTTATGGAATGATGGCTGTTCAAGCTCAGTCGTTTCGCACCGAGCACCATCGAGACAAGGAAAAGCTTGTCGCTGCACCCTCCGTAGAAGAATACGACTAGTTTTAGATGTCGCGCTTCGATCGATTGTCGTGGCTCAGGTTAAGTTCTGCCGCTAATTCGGGCCACGATGCGAGACGGGTAGATCTCTCCACCGAGCTCACCTTGCGCGCAGGCATCAAGCGGCCCCTCGCGAGCTAAGAGCTGGCGCTAATGGGACAATGGTATGGCGTATCTTTTGAGAAAGGGCGGCTCCAAAGTCCGTGGTCATGCCGGCGCCGCATCATTTCGCGCATCATTTCGCAATTGGCTCCTGAGCTTTGATTGTTACCTATCAAATCGTCAGGCACGAGAGTGAAGACAGGTCATTTCAAGGGCCGATCCGCGTTCTAATTCATCGAACAGACTCGAATAGGTTCTGTGTACTTGGTCCTGAAGGTCTGGAGAGAATGAAACGAATTTATTTGTGATTGTCTCCGCCTGCCCCCAGGCGATCTAGTTAGTCATCCCCGACCCACATAGATTCCAAAATGACCCAACATGCAGAGGTCAATATGCGTTAATACTCAGCTTCTTTGGTTACTTGCTTCAGCGCGTTTTTTTTTGGTGAGAGCTCTCTCAGTCTTGTTCGTAGAACCTGCACGGACTATTATGAGTTCGAGTTCAACGCTCTTAGGCTAGCTAATGCCTGCTGTCGGTGAAGTCGTGGTAATCAGGGAGCGTACGCCGACAAATTTAACGAATAGCTAATTCTCAAATTAACAGGCTCGTCACTTATTGTCAATTCGGAATTTCGTTACAACGTACCATGCAGCAAAACCAACGAGAGATGTCGCGCACATTAGTGCGGTATCGAGCTATTCATCTTAATTAACTCTCAGATATTATGTTAAGGTTACTACTCAGGGTTGTGTTTAGTCTCACTGTTCCTCTGACGCCGGCTGGAGGTAGTGTCGGTGATGATGATGCGTTTGTGTCTTCATAAAAATAGCTCAGTTTCTCATCTTCGCTCGCTGAAGAGCGTGAAATGAGCCGCGGCCATTGCCAACGAATCTATGATTATTCTCCCGCTTGAACAATGCGTTTACAACAATTGCGATTGTCGAAAAATCAAGATTAAATGAGCTGAATGACGCTTGACTCATTACTCATCTGCGATGATCAAAGACCCGAATTACCTGTACAAAAGTTATGATTCATCATAGCTCTCACGTTATTGATTGCATCGTAAGCCTGGCAGCAGTTACCTACTTCGCAAACCAAGATGTCTGCTTGGTCCAATTACCTTGAAAACATAAGCAAAGAGTTTTGCATATACTTTTCTCCATCTCCTAAGGGGTTCTGAAGTGACAAGTTGTAGGAAAGCTAGTCAAGATAATGTTGGATTAGGGTCGGATTTTTGGTTGGTGTGTTTTCGCAAGATGGTGTTCAGCGGACTGAGTCTGTAGCAATCCGAGGTCAATAGAGTAGATTGTAGTTACCTCTGGCCACCAATTGGAGTTATGTGATTAGGGTGATGAGTCTTTTATTTTACGCATCAGGTTTTAATTGCGTATGCAGCTATCTAGCTATGTCACAATATTAAAGAAAGGTACAGAATAGATGATTCAACGTATAGAAAGAGCATAAGGTGATGAGTCATATCAGAAGACTTGGATACTTTTATAAATTCAATTCATAAACAGTCCATGACAGCCTCATTGTAGGTCCATCCTCCATACTTGTCGAGAATACATGTAACTCCTTAACAGCCTCCTTTCAATACCAATACCCTCACAGGTTTTCCTTCAACAGTATAGTTAAAACCCTCTTGCCCCTTCAATTAGCTTGCTCTCCAGCCTACACAACGAAGACAGTTGTAGGTGCATCGTGGCCATAAGGACTAGTCAATACCAAAAGGTGTGTAGCCCCCTTAATTCTCATGTTAGAACTGGATCGAAAGACGCTTCTGTTCTTCTGAAGGATTTGAAGTGATCGCTGTTCCAGGCACAGCATCCTTGTAAGTACGAAAGGGAACCTTTTATTTGTCTTTTTAGACCATTTTCGACCCCTCCCGCTACTCGCGTCTGAGCGACAACTGGGGTCGCGTCGAGTTGTCAGAATGTCTCTATAAAATGCCTTTTATTTAATTTAGCTTCGTCTAATGTTTTGTGCTATCTACGTATTGAAAGTATAATGGTCTCACCAAAAATAGAAACTACTCTAGCAAGCGTTAGAACCCATCTTGAACTTAAAGAATCGGTAGTGAGAGCTGAAGGTTCGCAGGGTGCAGTCAGGTGTGGAGCTCTTATCTTGTCCGTGACATGTTATCTATGAGCAAGGAATGCGAAATGAATTCATTGGAACCATTAGATCTCCCGAGATATCATAGCTGCACGCAGGGTCGAAATCGAACAGACGGTTGCCGCGACGGCCTGGCACGGGACGAATTGCAGAAGTATATTTATTGCTCTATCAGCCTCAGTGCACCTGCCCATCATCAGCCAGGTTGAGAAGTGCCTGGCTGCGGTCAGACACAGCGATTCACTGGTCCGTTCGTTCCATCAACGCTGCCTGTTTGAGTGTCTGCCTAACGAAACCCTTGACTGCAGTTTTAAGAGCCACAGGGGCGCCAATTTTTCAAGTACCTGACAAAAGCAGTCCTAGGCCTCGCAAGCATGTGTGCAGAGAGCCAATCTGGACGAGAATATCGACTTTTCGCTCAATTGACTTGGCCATAATCTCAACTTTGAGCAAGCCTACTTTTCACGCCGCCGCCACTGCCGCCATGCAAGCAGCAAGCTGTTGTACGATGTGGCCTCGCATGCCTGTGCCGTCAGTATGAAATGCATGAATATCCTCCGATCAGCAAGAATTTCGTCATGCGTGCACCGTTGAAAACCTAACCAATCCCGCACAGCGCCTCCATTCATGGCGCGTCTAAGGCGCGTCCTCGTCCGAGAAAATGCCACGAGGGTGACCCGGTCCTCTCCTTTCCTGCGTCATTTTATGAGCCTGTAGCCTGACCATCTACCGTCCAGCCTCAGTCCACATGGACCAGGAGAGAGTCAATACATTCTCCTTCCCACCACGTGGTCACGGACTGGCGTCAATGGGTTTATTTTAGTGTCCCGACCACTCGGACATTCCACGACGTCAAAGTCGCACAATTTATGACGTTCAAGCCCATACTACCCGTTTCTTTTGCTCGAATTTCAAGGTCAACGGATACTGAAACTACAGTCGTCTTGCATCAAAAGCTAACTCACCTAATGTCTGTGTGCTCAGTTTTCCACAAACATATGCTGTATCCTTAGGCAATAGAATAGCAAGGGCCATCAAGCCGGTTCTCTCATCTCCAGTCAAGTAGCATAATACGAATCTCAGCAGAAGAGGTTTGCATGTAGTGATACACGAGACCATGTAATTATTCAACTATCAAGTTACTGCTATGTCTGAAAAAGTCTCCTTCATGAATTCTAGTGTGACAATGCCTCTCTGTACATTGACGTTATAAAGTTATTTGCATATAAACTGTTTATGCATTTACAAAACTAACTCTCCAACACCTCCGACGCCGACTCGAAATTCAAATCCAATCCATAATGCATTAGTTAAACCTCAATTTACTCCGTCTATTTCGTCAATCTATACTCATCTATAGATGTTATTATATCATCCTCATATATATCTTATACATGTTAGTCAAGGCTAGATGCCTTATTATTCGAGAACCACTGCTACGTGATCGTCGATGTACTGTTCAACATTACCCATGGCAGCAGCAGCTATACATGCAGCAACACCGAAACCAATACTCATGAGATAAATATAATCAAATGCTCCCTTGAAAGTAAGAATAGCACCCTCCTTGACGGCATGGTATGCCGCAGCGTGTGCAGGTCCGGCCAATTGTGGTATCCCGGGTGCTAGCTCGTCAAATGGGCGGGAGGCTAGTCCTTCGATAAAGTTCGTTATAACAGTTATATTAAATACCCCTGCATTGATAATAGGGGCGGCAAGGTGAGCGAATGCATTCTTCTCTAATACCTTGAGGAACCGTGAAAAGTAAATTGCAAGACCAATGACCTGAGCTTGAGATCTGATACCGACAGTGAGTGCGGTGGCAGAAGCAATCAAGTCGTCAGGTGTTAGTATAGTTATTATAATTTGATTAGGAACAAGGACTCCGCCTACGCCAACTAGAGCGATACATAAGGGAGCCCAGGCACTAGAAAGAGAATGAGGGTCAATAGACGAGAGAGTTGCGGTTCCTGGGTTTTGTGAGTAGGTACTTAAAGAGAGCTAGGGAAGAACTTACCACAAGTTTGCATTATGCAGAAAAATGTCATTATGATAGTAACATGTTTTCGGAATAAACCAATCAACAATGCTGAAATGATGGCACCACCTAGTATGCAAGTCCCTATAGGTAAGTTGTTGATTCCGCTCTGTCTCATGTCTGATCCATAAACGGCAATGGTCTCAATTGGCCAAAAGACAACCAGAGGTATGTAGTTTATACCCGCGGAGAATATGAGTAAAAGAATGCAATAAAATGGCCGGGGCGCCCTAACAATGCGTCGCGGGTACAATGGATATTTGGCACCAAATTTTTCCCATAGGCCAAATGCAGTTAAGAGAGCAAATCCGATTAATAAAAAGGAAAGAACATGAGAAGAAGTCCAGGCATACTGCTGTCCACCCCAGTTTAAGGCTATGAGGATAAGGAGTAGACCAAGTGTTAGGAGAAATCCACCAAGCCAGTCAATCCGCCAGAAGAGTTGACGACGTGATAGGCCCTGAGAGTTGGTTCGCGGTGGAGGGAAGTAGAAGCAAGCAATCATGACAAATATCAAAAGATGCCAGATAGCAAGTGGCAAGCCGATCCAGCGCCAGGATGAGGCAGCCATAAAATCGGCGTAAAGAGTTCCCGGAGACCATGGGATTATGGCTGTTAGAATTAGAGCTGCGTACAGACCTCTCTTGGCTGTGGGTACTATTTCAGTTACGACCGAGATAGCCATCAGTTCTTCGATCACGGCACCAAACCCAAGGAGGGCCTGGCCGGCGATGAAGCCAGGAGCAGTTGGAGTCGTTGCACAGACAATAGCTCCGATGAAGCCAAGCGAGACTCCAACGAGAAAGATGGATTTACGGCCGTAGAGATCAGCAACAGGACCAACAAATGGTGCTAGAGAGCCCATAGCGATTATTCCTGCGCTGAGAAGCCATACAGTTAGGTCGGGGCGTCCTAGGTCTTCTGATATGCGGGTACCTAGGGTAAGGTAAAGCAGGCCTACGATTTGTGAGCCGGCTAGAGCAAAAGCACAACCAAGAAGCGTCATGAAGAATCTAATTGAGCCCTGGGATAGTTAGTTTCATTGTTTCTCCCTATCATAGGAAGCTGACTCACAGAGTTATAAGCATCAAGATGACCAGCATCATCACCCACTGGTCGGAGGCCGTCTTTTTCACTGTAAGTTGAGCGGCCTGGAGAAGTTGGAGCAATGGTACAAGCTGGTGAAGCTTTACTGTTTTCTTCGAGAAAGCTGTTAGGTCGATTCATAACAGGAGTTACGCTGAGTCCAGGGCCTGCTCCTCTGTTTTTCCCATCCGGACCGAATTGCGGGTCAAAGACTAGCCCGTCGAAGTTGCCGTTGTTTCCTTCACGCTTCCTACCCGGCTCTTGGTAGGATTGCGGAAACGGGCGTCCGTCGGCGGAAATTTGTCCTGCTGGTACGGTATTCATAGGAGCGTACTCGCGGAAGTTGTTCATCTTGTTTAGGTTTTTCATCTCCATTGTCGTCTTATTCTTCTGTGTCACATTGGCCATCCAATGAAGCTCTTCTTAATAGTGTTCTTTGCACAGCCAACTGATACAATTATTCCTAGCACCTTCGGTGCGTAGATTAGTCTGTGGGAGTAGAAGCGTTGCAGAAATTCCGATATTATGAGAGGTGAAATGGGTATAAATACAAATGAGAATATTGTTGGAAGAGTAAGAGGAAATGCAAGGTCTTGGACTGTGACAGGTTATGTAACGGGCACTTGCGGAAAAATGGACTATGGAATTTAGTTTATTTCGCCACTCTGGTTCCCCGCTTATACTGATAGACGTCTTTGATGTCCGAGTAGCACTTATTAGTTGAGCCCGAGGACGAGATCGGCTTGGACCACCGTCGAGGAGCAATAGCTCAAATCGGAAATCCACCAGTCGTACCTAAAAGATCTAGGCGCCCAGACTTGACTTGGATATTAAAGGTGGAGTTTTGGCCTGTTTTGGCTGATTTGAAGGCGAAATTCGGAAGAAGGATTAAGATGGAGGTGAAATATTATGGTGAAATCACAGTAGTAAGCACAGAAACTGCCTAGGCGTTCAAAATTGAATGAAGAGAGGTAACGAAAGACAACAATACGGACAGCGATAGTGAAGGTAGGGATCGAGGAAGTTGTAAGTGCGGGTAAACGGTAGGTGTAGGTGGAATGGTCTTGTTTCAGGATTTTTTTTGGGGGTAACTGTTTGTCAACAAGGGATCCGAGCTCTGAGTACGGGAGAAGGGCGAACTAACTAGCCATGGAGAATGTTAGGGTAGTCGTGGGGGCCATGTCATTATTCCCTACAGAATTTGTAAGGCGACGATCAGTGCAGGCAGGATAGGATGCTAGTCCAGGGACGGGCACATGTAGATCCATAATTTGGCGAAGAGTAGGCTCACCGCAAATAAACTTAAGGGTGCGAGAAGACAGGGGTGGATAAGAACTAGGGCAAAGTATCGGAGTTTAACGTGATTCAAGAAAATATCAATATCACGTGATACTAATGACGTGCCACGTTCTATGCCTAGTTGAATATCCACCATCTCGGGCCTCCCACGACAGTAATTGGACCTGCGTCCTCGGTGTCTACTTCGAACTTAGAAGCTCTATGTTCTCTCAGAGCCACGATCCAGCCGTCCCCTGAAAGTTGTTTCGAACTTTTCCTCTCTGAAATCCCAATCAGGAGTGGTGCAGAGCTGATTTGTTCAGTATCTCTGGATTACAGAGATTTCTCTCCTTCAAAAACCACGAAGAAAATAATCAAGGCCCCTTAAGATGATACTAGATAAAGCTGAATATCCATTTCTCCCTCGATATACAAAAAAATTATTGAAGTCCCTATTTAATGCCGGAAAAAAACCCACAACATGACCCGCGACCCTTTCTTCCAACACTGTTGTTGACGGTAAATAATGAGAGGACGTTAAACTTGGGTCACTAAGTATGAATGTTCGATGAAAATTTAAGCTTGCGAAGAAATACAGGAGGTATATTTATACATGGACGCTTTTGAAGTGGTTGAAATAGAGGCCTCAAGAACTGGAGGGCATCATTCAGAAGATTGGCAGAGGCAGACATTCCCTCCAAATTCTTACAATTGTCTGAAGAGCCAAGCAGTGGCAGGGCCTTCAACTTTATACGCCAGGTTATTCTGGGAGTATTGGTTTGCCAGGCAGTCCATATAGACTGAGCTTACCAACATTGGGCCTTGGTAATCAAGTGTCGTGCGCCGGCACCAGGTAAGGTAACTTTAAAAAACACTCAGTGTCTTGTGACATACAAGTAGTTCACCCGGTCTAGCCACAGTAAAAGCTCAACCAATCACTGTCAAGTTAGTTCCCGGCCTGTGGGCACAAAGGACGTTACTGTCCTTAGATAGTCATAGAAACAGTAGGATTATAACCGTACACACTGCCAAATCAGCAATGTAACTAAATGTCCCGAACGCATAATTATTCTACAGACTCACCCTAAGTGTTCATCGGTATATTTTTAACAAATCAATATTCAGACTTACTATTCAGTTCCAAAGCTGATTAGGTAGCTGCAGGTTTCTGTGGTCATAGACTCAGTAAAGACTTCAGTTTAATTATATTATAAAATCTCATATATCTTTAAACAGGCAGAGAGCTGTAGGAATCAACTCAGTATTCAATCTTGAGTACAAAGACTTATCGATATTAGAGGAATGAGTAGGTCCTATTTGTGATGTATGCTATAAAGTACGTAGAGCCGATTATCCATAATAGAAGTTAAGTGACGGGGGCTACACTCGCGTATTATCAATTCAACGTGCTGATGGCAAAGACGATTTCTCTTCCTCTCAGTGGTGTCGATATAAACGTACAGTATGCCCTGAATATCTAGAATATTCAAGAAAAGCAGCATCAAGTATTCTCACTTTTATGAGGATTCTCAATTAGTTTCAACGTCTATATCATCCTCATCTCCCAGTGCAACCCCCACCACTACCATGAAGCTATCCACAATTCAGTCAAATGGTAGAGACGGAATCCTGAACGTTTTCTACTCAATTTTTTAATTATTTATCATGGAGAAACCATTCAATGGGTTTGCAGATTATGCCTGACTCCCGAAACAGCAATGGTGGATTAGATCACGTAGACATCTTTTGCTGTAAAGAGGGATAAAATGGTTATACGCACCTCGTGTGGCACTGGTACTCAGATCTCGCCTGGTTGGGGTTACTGGGGTATTAACTTCGACCAGCGCATGCGGCTTCTACTGCTATTTTTTAATTTTTTTGGTGGAAGGTATTGTAGGAAAGGTGGCAAAACAGACGGGTAGTTACTGAACTATATCGCTATACATCACGGGTATTTAATCCGATTGCTTAACTTTATTTTCAAATAGAAAAAAGATATTGCACGACGTATGGCCTTGATCAGAAAGGTGCCAAATGCACTAGACAGTCACGTGTTCGAGAAGTACAATAAACACCAAAAGAACACACCAAATTTCATGAGCTCGTTGCGTTCGATCATATAGAAATGTTTGCTAGATCAACGATGAGAGGATGACGTCAATAGAATGAAGCAGCAGAATGCGTGGCAATTGCATGAGTATACATCAAGATGGTTATGCGACAATGTCACGGTCTGGAGGGACTATTCTCAACACCTGTCGGTGGTGTCCACTACGAACCTCCAGCTCTCACTGTAGAGTCTGCAGAGCCGAGATTGAGTAACACCTTTTCAACTTTGAGCTGAGTTATCACCCCCTCCGCTAAAGATACGCTTCCGATAACACATAAGACGATAAAGATGCCGGGAATGAGGAGAGATAATGCGGTACCAAACGCTACAAAAGTAGTCGGAGAAGCCCTCGTTATATCACAACATGTGCTACCCACCGGCGGGCGAATAAAAATCCTATGAAAGCAAAGTAAAAGACCCTTCCGCCTTCAAGAAAAGCAGATTTCGACTCGTCTACAATATCGTCCATACTAATCTTAACTTCTGAATCTACTAGACATGAGGGCATCTGGAATACATGAGTTACTCGACGACCCCATGTCCGTAACGATTTTTGGGTGCTGGGCTAGGCTCTTTCGCGGCAGTCATTCTTGACCAAGACTTTTCTGACATCTTTTCACTACCTTCGGTTTGTCCTGCGGCATGAATCAGGGAAAGAGGTAGGAGGCTAGGAAGGTTAAGAGACACTCTTAGGTATACACAGGTCTGCTGCGCCCGGCTGGCCGGCCTCTTCGTCACAGGAGAGTCTTGCACCCAGTGGTTTTTGAGACTTTTCCTTACATCTACACACCCGCAAATGGCCATCGTTAAGTTGGCTGGAGAGGAGAGATAATTACGGGATAACAGCTCCTCTAAGTATGTACTCGAATGAAGGTCTGTAGGGGTATTATTGCTGGAAAGAAGTCGTGAAGGTGGGATAGAATGAGTACACTACCCGAGGCATAGATACTCCCGACCTGCGGGCAGAAAGGACCTACATGTCCTTACATAGTCAAAGACTTCATAGGACAATAAACACATACACAATGACACGGTCTGGTATTGTAACTTTAGGTCATATTTTTAACTTATTTTCCCCTTGGAGATCAAGGATCAATGTTCACAGCTAATATTACATCAATAAATTGGCCCTTTTTTGTCGTGTCTGCTGCAATCTAGGTTCTATGCACAATGAGGCAGACGTACGGAGCATGGCCGAGTGGCCCAATGCAGTGCATGTATAATCGTACGAAACTAGCAAGGCGTAGAGAGCGGGTCGAGTATATGATGGGTGGCCGTTATCAGATTTACATACCGGGCTTCAAATTCGATTGGCGGTGCACAATGTGTGTGGATAGAGAAGCGCACCAAGGTAGAAGACAGCAGGAAAAGTAACCCCTTCCCCCTGATAACTCACACCCAGCTTCCCTTCATCAGTGACTCAGGGGTCCATTGGATGGAATTATGTTAGGCTGCACAAATATTACACTTCCCCAAAAAAGCATAGTCACTTCCCAGATGGCAGAGCCAGAAGGAGGAAAGGGATAATTGGATCTACGCAGTGACTTCTCTCCTAACTGAATGGGGGCGTGTAAGGTGATTGTGGTTGCAGCGATAACAGAGATTAAAATTAGGTTAGGAAGAGGCGAATAACTATATGCCACCCACCGTCTAGACCAACCACCCTAGACATCCGCTCGAGTTCGTAACGACACGATGACTCCAGTGGTACACGCAGCCCCGCTAAGTATCTCTTTAGTGCTAATGTGAAAGGCGTTAGTGGTTTACATCAGTGTGTGCATGGGCGGCACATGGACGAACACATGGAAAGGCGCCGATAGTGGCCTGTGATTACTTCTAATGTTTCTTTCATCGTGTCTACTGAACTTCCAGGTTTTTTCTAGAACCCCGCGAAGTGTGGGGAAGTACAGTTAAGGCTGTCTCACAAGTCGAATTTGAGACTCTACACCACAATACTATCCATCCCAGTAGCATTCTTACTTTTATGTTTCCATCAGTAAGATGGAAAGGTCGAAAGGAACAATTTCTATGATTTGGTTGCTATGAACTAGTACATCAAGACTTATACTGTAATCATCCAACTTTGCCCACTTCTAAAATGGCGAGCGCAGGGACGGCGAACGCAAATCACGGTGACCGCTATGGCCTAGTGGACATGGGCAGGTAATATTGAAAATCACAGTCCACGGCACTGTGAAATCATTCTCACATACTCTAGCAACGGTATCCGCTTCTCTATATCAGATATTTCTTCACCACAAGGTCGCCTGCTTTCTTGTCTATATCGCGAACGATCCAGTATCTCACTCTACGATGCCCTTCACCTGCCATCTCCAGATGCTGAGCTTCTGCATTTCTCAAATCAAACTATGGTGCTCGTGGCGGAAACCCTGCTCAAATTCAAAAAGATATGTGAAGGGTACGGCGTCTCTCATGACTGCATCCAAATCTTCGCCACTGAAGCTATGCGGATTGCTAAGAATCGAGATCAAATGCTGCAGACCATTTCCAGGACTAGTGGATTGACGGTGTCAATTTTGACAGCCGAAGAAGAAAGTCTTTATGGTGCAGTTGGCGCACGAAGTTGCTTTGATAAGATGGACGGCCTATTTATGGACTTGGGTGGTGGCAGTTTACAGTTGACCTACGTCAACACCACTCTTGGCCCTGGCTATGAGACGGCCGCAGCAAAAGCAGCCCAAAGTATTCCATATGGAGCCGCAAGACTAACGCTTGCACTAGAAGAGCAAACTACTGCCGCTCTTCAGAAAGAGCTTCAAGAAAAATTTAAAGAGGCATACGAAAGGATAGTAGAGACTTTTGATGTGTTGAAAAGTAAAATAGCAGATGGTGATGGAGTGAGCTTATATCTCTCTGGGGGCGGACTTAGAGGTTATGGCAGCATGTTGATGCACATGGATCCTATTCAACCATATCCAATACCAGTAGTAGGGGGATATATTGTATCAGGAGTTCGGTTTTCTCAATGGCGTGAAATGCTAGAGGCCAACAACCAGGCAGTCAAAATCTTTGGACTGTCGAAACGGAGACGCAAACAATTTCCAGCAATCGCTTTGGTTGTTAGATCAATCATCGAAACCATTCCAAAGATCAAGTCGGCAATTTTCTGTTCAGGCGGTACTCGTGAAGGAGTTCTTTTCATGAAACTTCCCTGCTCTATCAGGAACTCTGACCCTAGCGTTCACAATCTTATAACGGGTCAAGACCAAGACCCCTCTACAATATCAATCGTTTCTAGATTACTCGAGACTATCATGCCTTCTCAGTGTCCTTCTCTTTTTACACTTAGCTTTCTAAAACAGGTTGCACGCTGCACATGGGTATCCCAAGGTCATCTTCACAACGCTTCGTATTTCCTCCACACCTGCACATCTGGTGATTTTGTAAGTCTTCCAGGCATTACGCACGAGTTCAGCGCTGCCCTTGCCCTAACTCTTTCAACACGATGGGGTTCTCGTCTAAGACCCACTGACGTCCAAATTCAGCGAAACTTAGAAGAATTTGTTGGCTTGGAAACTGCTTGGATGTGTCAGTACGTAGGCACTGCTGCTCGATTTCTAGCAGAATTATGTCCGGTATTCTCAATTATCCCCCATGTATTGGTAGAATCTCTGTCGTGTGAGGCTACATTTAGCAAATCCTTAGGAAAAAAGCGGAAGAAGAGCGGTATCCAGTTGAGAGTCACTATGCCGGGAAAAGATTGTGATTTGCCCGGGAGAGACTTTGGCCAACTTCAGGGGATGTGGAAAAAGGTTGGAAAAGGCCTATCTCTTGATTGGAAGGTAGAAATGGAGATGGTACTATCCGGCTCCGACGAAGTAATCAACGAAACAATCAACTAGACTGATTAGACTTATGTAACAGGTACGGGGCTATTAATTGTTCCCGCTACGCAATAACAACACATAACCCAGGATTTTCTAGCTGGTAATAGTTTTGGTGATTCACCTAGATGATGCGCCCAGTGCCGTTGCTAGTTCTCATATTTCCGTTTGGAACTTGCTATCATTATTCTGCCAAAATCATACCCGATAGTAATTCCTGGCTATCATCTAAATCAGTTTAAATTTAATCTACTAGAAAGTCAGTAGAAAGGTCTGCTACGATTGTGATTTAAATTAATGTAGTGGCAAATTGCAAAATTTACTATTTTGATGAAAGATAGGCGCTTGTTTTCTGATTTGACTACGTGCTAACTCACAACACGACTTCAAGGCTTCGAATAGGTGTGTATCGTAAACTGTGCAGGGTTACATAATTGGGCTCGTACCGTCAGGCGATAATTGTATTGGCAACAGCAAGCTCGTTGAATCGTTTCTCCTATGTCTCCCTTAAGTTCTAGCTAAGGAACATTATATTTACAGTATGGTATTGCGTAACAGATAAATGGGTCCTTACACGGTAACCCCATTTGACCTCAGATGTGCATAAGCCAACCCAGCCTAAATAAACTACCCGACGTATCAACCCTCTCAACAAAGCCTGACATATAATAAACGGGCCAAGACTAACCTGCCGTGTAAACCGAACCGCCAAAAGACGACAAAAGTCCCATATTTCTACAGCTTCAGTTATTCAGTACAATGAAGATGATATTCAAGTTTAATATCAAAAAATTTGCTCATAACCTCCACAATTTGTCTATGAATTCTGACCCTGGTGCGGGACAGTCAAGAATTAAATCGTTAGATGGTTGGGGAAAACCGAGCTTATACCTCTTTTTTTAACCCATTTAATGTATGTTCGGCTATCTAGCTTTGACACTTGATCAGTGCTATGTATACATTTTGTATGAATCTTGTGAAGTTGTGAGCACTCATAATCAAGATTTCATTTGCAAAAACCATTGTGAGGTATGTTTGCTTACACAAACAGTCGATCCTCCTCCGTAAGTACCCACCAGAGGGAAATTCAAAACCTTTGGTTATCCAATCATGCCTTAGTCCTCCATGCATACCAGCGCCGCGAGAAAAGTGGTTGTGTTTTGCCGGATTCGAATTAGCGATCTCCTGTCTCGAGTGGGATATGTGTCCTAGCTATCCAGGCTCGACTTTGAAGACCGCCCAAGACGATGTACCACCCCACCATCCAACCATTGTGGTGTTTTTAGTGTCGCCTGCACTCTCGTAACCAAAGACTTATCACGCACAAAACTCAATTCGTAAAAACTCCTAGCCAAACTTCAAAATCCCACTCACGTCGAGATTGTAGCCATCCTCTGTATTACCTCGTAAACTTATCTTGGTTCCTCTCACGCCCACTCAAAAGAACTGTCTCCCAGATTTATGCGCCACGTTTTGTCTTCTCTGTCGGGTGTAAATATGGGTGTGAATATGGGCGTGTATGTGGTGGTCAATTGAAGCCAGAGAAGGTCCAAGAGGGGTGTGATCATTGAAAGGAGGATGTAACAAGTCGCACCTGTAAGCTTAATCAGGTGTTGGTGAGGATTGATCTCGTTGAGAGGGAGAAATTGATTCGGGGAGAGTCTTGAATCATTGCCTCGTGGGCCGACTTCTTTGGTATTGCGAAATTTGACTGAGCTTTGTTCTGGGAGAAAATTCAATTCCTAGGTTCGTGGAAGACACCGCGTACAAGTGTTCAATCATTGCCCTCCGAGCTTATACTTTGTAAGCCTGTAAACTCACGCTATAGATCTACAACCATACATATACCAAAGCAAGGACAATTTCGTCCAATTAATCAGAAGCCTTCAAACTTGACCTAAGCCCTTGAGTCTAGTATAATGATATAATTCATTCTGGGGGATAAGTATCGGGAGCAAGGTAACTGGGCAACCAAGTTTCGATCACTTTAGAGATCATCCAGCGGGACAACTATGCCAGAAATTACAACAGGAGTGGAAGACTTTTCTCATTGGGCATCGAGTCCCTTGTAATTTGACGCTTCTTATGAACATGAGATTAATGACGGGTAATTGCTAGCCCCAGAACCGACGACTGTACAATATTTCAGCTAACACTTTAACTTTAGCGAGCAACCGGGGGACTATTCTCAACACCTGTCAGTGGTGTCCCCTACGAACCTTCAGCTCTCACTGCAGAGTCTACAGAGCCGAGATTGAGTAACAAAGTCCTCACTTCGACGAGTATTCCCAATCGCTTTCGCCGTCTGTATCGTCTTCATCTCCCAACACATTCCCCTACCACCATTATCATGAAGCTAACCACAATCAGATCAGATGGTAGGGTCTAAGCCCTTCTTATCATCAATGCTTGATCATGGAGGAAAAGCCATCCGATGAGTTTCCGGAGCGTACCCAGCACCCGATACGGAGAAGGTGGATTGGATCAAGTCGGCCTCTCATCTTGCAAAGAAGGGATATATAGATGAATATGCGCACCTCATACGGTCCAGGTGTCTAGGCCACGCGTGGTTTGGGCTGCAGATTTTTTTCAGTCTTTTTCCCGCGCACACAGTTTCCTTTGCTATCATTTTTTTCAGGTAGAAATTTCCTTGGATAAGTCGGTTAAATGGCTATTCATCACGGGCAATAAATTAATGATATTCCGAGTAACGAGAGAAGACATGAGTACTATGCATAGTTTGTCCTTTGCGAGAGGGGAGCCCATTGTGCTAGATGGTCTATGACTCAAGATGCACTTCATATATACACGTACCTGTGTACCCGTAGCACTAATCATGTAACGAAGCCGCATACGTATTAGATGGTTAAAAATAAGAACAAAAATAAAAATATTTGAATTTGAATTTGATTTTAATTAACCCGATCAGGCAACCTATGGGTCCATGCAGGTGACTATCTGCATTATTTACAAAGGAGGAAACCAATTTGGTGAAAACCCCCTGATCCTGTATTTTTATGTTCCTATCAATATATTTGGTTTACCTTCAGGAAGTGCAGTATACACTGTTCAGTCCGTGTGGATTCCGTCCTCTCCCCTTCCAGATCTATTTACTTTATCTGACATTGCTAACTCGACTTCCCCTGCCAGTCGAAACTGTTCTATCCACCCTTTGTTTAGTATCCACTGTGTAATTCTGGCCATGTGTTCTGGGCTGTTCATCATTGCTTCAAATGACCTGTCTTTAGCTTGTCGGAGAAAGTCGCCTCTTCCATTTGCCCACTGCGGACACGCCAACACCGTATGCTTGACGTTTTGCGACGGATATCCACATTGACAGCTTGGCTTTTTAACTCCGGGTACTTTTCTTCTACACAGGTAAGAATTGAGTCCGATATGCTCGCTCCTTGGCTGAATGGCGACACTGCTTTGGGACCTGGTTAGGTTACGGTGGATTCTTAAGGGTGTATCTTTGAAGTTCATTATGACGCCGCCTGTTTGTTTATCAGTAAATATATTTGCCGCTTTCCAATGTTCTGGATCGGCTGATGCAGGTCGGCCAGGGAATAAAAATATATTGCTAAATTATTAGTGCAGCTAATGGATTAACCTGTTCTCTGACGTGTTGGTTACCGTAGCTTCTTCATCACTACCGTTAACCCTTCAAACTAGTGTCACAGCTAGTTAGGCTGCATACACTTAATGAATTTAATAAAAACCCCCCTTCAAACTCGAGGCCTGTCATATCAGGTTGTTGTCATGGAGATAGTGATGGCTGGATGACGTGGAAGTCCGAGGATTCTTTCTATTTCCCCAAGATTGATTTTCACGGTATAGGGAAGAGTTTAAGATCCATAGCTCAGCTCTGGCGGTGTAATTGAGGGCATCCATGGCACCTGATCTTGGTACACATATATTCATTTAGCTCTGCACGCATTTTTCTTGTCATGGGCCTTCTAGAGCTTTAATGGATTACGGCATGAAAGCTACCACGTCCGATCCATCGCCTTACCTATCTCTCTGACCTCCATGCCCGCGTCACAACATCGTCTGCCGCATTAGTTTACTTGTCAGCCTCGGTGTCTTGTAAGAATACTTTACATCAGGTTTCTATTCGAGACACCCAAACTTGCCGCAGAGTTGCTGCAAGGCTTGTGATAGCTCCAATTTTTGTTTTGCGGTATTGTTAGTATATTATCTGTCACCGTGGCAATTATTAATCTGGCGGTCAGAAATGCGATTACATGTGTTCCGGAAAATAGCCTCAGAAGGGTCTCGAGACTGTATTATTTTCCGAAGGGGTGTTTGGAATGGGCCGATATTACCAGCTGGTGATAGACTCATGCAGCCATGGATCGCAACCTTAAATTCCTCAAATAACAATCGGATCTTTTTCATTTCACTGAAGTAGGCCAAAACGCACCTCATTCACTTGAATTGCGAGCCGTCTTCCGAACTATTCTGTACAGGTCCTTTACGTCAGCCGACACCCCTGTCGCTTCTCCTGAAAATCGGATCTGCATGCAAGACGAAAGATCGAACGAAAAGAACACGGAGGACAGTGTATGGGTGAGAACCGGTTACCCTGTGAACGTAGGGTGAGCTAACTACCTAAAGCGGCCTTGCTCTCTCCGAACTGCAGCTGTTATGCATGATGAATTTTGCTCGTTATGGTATACTAATGCAGAGTAGATTCATAGTGAGATATTGAATCGCACGTTCATAGATTTGGCATTGTGGAATACGAATTAGTAACTGATCAGTCCCTTGATTTCGTCAAAGACAATAGCAAAAGGTAAATCATCAAGCATCCGCTGACGAAGTCTTCGATTAGACGGATCTGGGTATTTACCAGCCAAAGTATTTACTCGGTAGGACCCCTGGTGACGCACAAAAGAACGACTTGAACAAATCGTTTATTGAAAATCAAATTCTTGGACTTTAACGGTAGCTCTCAATTGTGAGACTAGAGCTTGAGAAGAGACATTTACTTTCTTCCGGATGGTACGCTACACAAA